CCGGTGACGTCACTCCCCAGTCGCGCGCGAAGCGGTGACGTGGCCGCCCAAATAAGCGGCCTTCCCGCCCGTTTTGGTCTTTCCAACCCGCTTTCCTCAGCGCCTCCCTCAAGTGTTGCTGCTTGAGCAAAAAACTCTTATTTTGGCAAARTTTCAGGAAGATGTTGCTATCATTATATATATATTTATATATATTTAATCACCTTTCTATTGGGGAATTGCTTAGGACTACAAGTGTTTTGAAAAGGACATAGAAAATATAAGAAACTAGTGTTTCTTATATTGAGAACGTGCAAGTTTTTCATCAGCTTGCGCTGAGCACAGTTTGTGCTCCAGTCGTGCGCGCTCCAGGCCTGCGACTAACCCTATCAACCTCGGCTTAAGTGTGTTTCGGTGCTGAAAGGATGAAGTGCTAATTACAGGCTTTCTGCAGAGGCCATATATCAGGCGCTGCTCAGAACCCGAGTTTTAGCACYGTCGGAATGAGTAATATTTGTAGGAGTTACCCTTCCTGCTTCCCATCCAGCATCCCTGATGCACTGAGCGAAACGGGTGTTCCAGCAAAGCCTTGATTAAACAAACCGGATCATCCCAGTGCTCAAGATACAGCTCTCCAGACCATCMACGGCCTCGGCGCCGGCAGCCCCCAGTGTGAACTGAAAAGAAGTGGGGCTGGACGGCTGAGAGCACCCTCGTACGCCGGGTTTGCGAGGCACCGCGCCAGCCTGCATTATAACTGCCTTTAAGCGGAATTATCGAACACGGAGATGTCTTTTTCTTTTAATGATGGATTAAACAAATAGCAGGCAAGAGCCCCAGGGTGATAACGAGCTGTTATTCACAAGGTATATAATTCAGCTATCAAACGGAGGTGTTGCGATGATGGCTTTTGGCTCTGGTAGAAAAACGGGCTTGGATGTGTTTCCTTCCTCCTGTTGCCTCCCAAAGCAGGGAACTGCATTTCGGTCAGTGCTGACAGGCAGCTCCCAGCCTGCGCTTAGGAAGGGCCCGGCAGGGCCGTCCCTCTGCACAGCCACTCTCCTCGTGCGCCCTCAGCTTCACGGGGAMAAACTTGTTCCCAGCGTCTCTGCTCCGGGTCTCTGCTCCCAGAGCCTGCTCGGCTGGCGAGGAGGTGACTCCACTGCCACTTCCCTCGCAAGGGCCCTGCTGGGGACTCCAACAGGTCTCCCTGATCCGCTTTTCTTCGGGACGGACAACCCAACTCCTTGTAAAACCTCCAGTTCTCTTCTCCAGGCACTGTTTGGCATGATCTATTGGAGGCAAATGAATGTGGCTGATACGAGTGACTGCGCTGTGTTGTGGGCGATTAGACTGGTTTTCTCGTGGCTGAGCTCATCGCGGGAGGTGCAGATGCAGGTTGGGCAAACTCATGGAGAGAGCGGGTTCTTCTGTAGGTGCTCTACGGCCGGCAGTGATCTGACGCACGCTTCAAATCCACAGCAGGCACAAAATATCCCTTTACATCGCCTTACGCTAGGGATAGAAACASTTAAAAGAGTCCACGAAATAAAAASCTCGGGTCTCACTTGGGAGAGACTCCCAATGACTGTACTGGGTTTCTCAGGATCCTTTTCAGTCTCAYGCTTTAAGCAGAGACTTCTGAGACTTCTTAGCACAGAGACAAGCACAAGCAAGAACAGCAGTGCCCCACCAAGCCGTCTGCCACGCGCAGCTCCGGCACTGRCAGCGTTCAGGCATGTCCATCGTCCACGGCTGAACTGCTTTTTAGGAAGAACTGGGATCAAGCCACCACTGAGGAAAATAATATTGATGTTCAATGATATAAATATGAACAAGGAGTAGGTTTCGAAGGAAGAAGTGAGGATTATGGTGCTAAATAATATGGACTAGTGCAATGSCAGTTCTCTTAAGAAGAGAAGAATTAAGATTAAGGAAGGAATAAGGAGCCTAAATTCAGAGGTTTAGCTAGGTAAATTGCTTTGAAGGTGTCTGCTGCTTAAGTTATGTCAAAAATCCACAAAAAAAGTATATGGGAAAGAAACTATAATACGTGGTATATATAGATATGAGACTGCTATAGATAAAGGGACTGCTTTAGATAAGAGATGAACAGCTTTACATTAGAACTAGTTAAGTATGCAATTAYGGAGTAAAGCAAGTATAGTAAAGTTAAGTATAAAGAAAGAATTATGGAGAACAGGAGGCAAAAAACAGTTTTATGAGAATAACCTCCCTTCCCAAGATGATAAATAGGATGCAATGCAAGTGAACGAACGACACCAGGGAGGCAGGCCCGAGAGCAAAGCCACAAGCCAGMCACACGAGCTGGGAGCAACAGCACAGGTTACAAAGCTGCAGCAGGAAWCCAGTCCCAGCGCCCATGGGTGAGTACCAGGGGGGCCTTTCCCAAGACTTCCCTGGGTGCCGCTGCTTTTCCGGGATCCAGGCTCGGAGGAAAGCAGGTGGCGCTCGCGCCTTTGCCACGGCAGCAGCAGGGCCTGCACGGCAGAGTGCTGCACGGCTGCACGCGCAGAGGACACCGCGCGCGGCGCGTCCTGCGCGCCAGCCCCGTTGCTGCGCGCCGGCCCCGCAGGCATCGCCGCCCTGCAGCGGCTCCCGCACGGGGAGCCATCCAGGTGGGAAGCAAATACGGCARAAAGAGCAGAGTGGAGGTTTATCTGTTTCGCCGGGCGTCTGCGAGCGCCTCGTCCCCAGCAACGCTGCACGTGTGCGAAAYGCGTGCTCGCCACACGCCGCCGCAGATGGCTGCGGCATCTGAAGCCGATCGACCGCRTTGTACATTTCCTCGTGTCGCTCTGGAGCCAAAGCATCTTCTTCTCAAACACTTACCGAAATATTTGGACTTATTTTCCAAACAGCGCTAAGAGCCTCATTTGCAGATCCACTTCATTTTGTGGGGCCGTGGCATTTCTGAAAGTTAAACTCCCAGCTGTTTTTATGGGACTCCACTGCTCTGTACATGAAAATGAAAACATGCTAAGGTGCCAGATGGAAGCAACCTGAAGTTAACTGCTGCTCGAAACTCTGTCCCTCCACTTATTGCCCATCTTCACCCCAGCCTCTTCCAGCCTTGAGCAAACACCTCTGGGTTAACAAACCCTGCACTGGGTCCCCCTACCCTTCAAGATGAACAAACCCACCCGCTTGAGCATTATCAGGGAACAAACTCCAGAATCACGGGCACAAAAGAATCTGTGGCTCTCTATCAGATGAGCTCGTTATCTCAGGGGTTTTGCTTTGCTCAGGTTCAATTGCCGTGGCAAAGTTCAACGCAAAGCCCCATGGGCGGGGAGAAGGACTTTCTTTCCAATCCATTTCCCTCCGGCTTTCTCTCCTGTACCGTGTTCAGCCACTGCTCCACGTGCACAAGGCTGCAGAACAGCTCCCAGCAGGAGGAGCTGCCCATGCTGGAGCCTACATGGAGCCTCTGGGCAGGCTGCATGGGTAGGGCGCCCCATGGGGCTTGCCAGGGCCATTGGGACCTCTTAGTGCCCTCAGGTCCCCGATGCTTCATCTCAGCTCTTGGTTTTCCAGGTCTGGGTACCTTGGGAGGCTGGCGGAGTGTGCGGCGGTGTCAGGGACCCGTCTCAGGATGCCTGCTCCTGCCATTCCTTCAGCCCTCTGGCTCTTTCCTGCTGATTTTGCACCCACACACCGACGCTTACACCCCATTCCCGCCAACCTTCGTGTTCCGATGGCGATTCCCTGCGGCTCTGCTCTCGTGCTGGAGGAGGAGTCTCTGCCTGGGGGCCAGGCTGTAAACAATTCAGTGCAAACTCAGCACTGCTGACAGCATCAGCAAACTCACTGAAMGCTAGTGCAGACCAAAACCCTGCTATAAGCTGATCCCTTCCCATGCGAAGCAGAATTTAACAAACAGGCTGCTACCCGCTACACGAGCTCCATCTTTTTGAGCGTAGCCCCCATTCCGAGCGCCTTCGGTACTGGAATCTCACATGCAGTGTTCTCAGCATGGCTCTCTACCGTGATAAGCTATATCTATAATACAGCTAATACAGTCCRAAAACAGCATTATATTTAATATGAATTAAATAAATTCCTCATTATTTTCTGGAAAGTCTGGCACGTTGTATGCTGCTCAGCCTTGGTGAAGAAGCAGAGCCCCATGGAAGGGACTTGGCTCTAAAGAAAGGGAGGTCACTTGGAGGAATGTGGTTTCAGTTAAGCAAAGGTGAGTGAGGGTTTGTTCATGCCAATAGATTTTCATCAAATAAAGCTGCCTATATTTAAGCTTTAATGCGATTACGTTTAACTTAAACTTGTTTCAGCCTCCATTCTTCAAATTTATCTCAGATTTGCTGGAAGGAGCTTGGTATTTATAAAGCATCTGATACTCATTTGGTGTAACCTTAATAAAGAGAATAAATAAAAAGAAATAAATTTGTTGCGGTATTGCAACAAATGGTATTATTATTTTGGAATTTTCTTCAGTAAAAAAATAGCTTATTAACAGTTTTATGATGAAAGATACCACCTTTTTATTTCTGGTACAAATTATTCAAGGGAAAAGCAATCCATT